TTTATTATTTTTTTTACAAATTCTTTGCCATGATGTGGAGAGCGACGGAACGCGATAGCCCGGATGTACAAGTGCCCGGATGTATTAGAACAGCAAGTGCCCGGATGTGCACAGACGTTTTGGCCCAAGTTTACCTTACAGTGGATAGAGATGATAGAAAGTCAAGGGGAAGAGAAAAGGGACACCAGGCTGGGAGATCGCCCGTTAACAGTTATTACTGAGAGATAGGATCGCCCGTTACCAGTAATTACTGAGAGATGGCCGTTCCGCTGCCCTCCTGACATGTTAGAGAATTAGTAAAGAACATACAGGCATAAATGCTGTGCACGCCTTCCCGGGTAAGAACCACCCTCATCAGGAGGCAGCGCTTGTAGGTCTTGTAACCTGCAGTGTGTGATGGGAGGGCGGGGTTACAGCAACCTACAACCTATACAGCCTCCTTTGGTTACGCCAACCTTTACAACCTCCTTAGTGGTTACACCAACCTATACAACCTCCTTTGGTTAGCCTATACAACCTCATTTGGTTACACCAACAATATACACCCTCCTTCGTTACACCAACCTATACAACCTCCTTGGTTACACCAGCCTATACAACCTCCTTGGTTACACCAACTCTCCTTAGCTTGAATCTTTGGGAGTAAGTTTTTCCTCTGTTCGTTTTTTTACCAGTACCTGGAAGCGATTATAACTCTAGCGAGCGACAGAAGCAAAAACTACCGTTTTAATCTTAACGTTCCCTCCACCTGACCACCTGAGTCCTCCTCTTACCTAATTATAAACATGTTTGACTCGAGGGTGTAAACAGCGCGAATCGTGCATCACAGTGGCTTCGACAGAAGTTGGAGAGAAAAGGGACACCAAAGAAGTCAAACGTTGTGCCTTAGACCATCAGACAGTCGTGGATGTGAATTTTACCGTCCAACCGTTGTTGTTAGTCATTACAGACAAACTCCACAAATATGAACCCCAGTTAGAAACGGCACACATGAACAGATGCTAGACACAGTCTGGTACAGACGCCCGGGGTTAGAGTTGTTTTCACACGGTTTGAAGTGGACATGAACTTCAGAAACTACACACTGTCAGGAAAACATTATGAAGAGTTGCTGTCGTTCTTTCGCGGTTCAGATACAGTACAACGAATAACAAATGATCCTCATTGATACGTCGATGAAGGTTAGACATCCAGGTAATACGATACGCCAAAGAGCAGTTACTCAAGCAACTGGATATGATTTAGGAAACGGTCAGACGTTTCAGGTAGTATCCACTACCTTTCGTCAGTGACTGAGAGACCAGAGGAGAAATGCAGGTCTATAAGCACAACCTATTGATTGATATTGATCCTCAGTCACTGATGACCAGATGGCTGTCACTACCTTCCTACCGAATATGACATCTCGTCTATCCCTTAGAGTAATCATTCAACTGTTGAGGCACCACCACAGACTGTTGAGGCACCACTATTCACTTCATGGCTGCCCATTCTCTTATACCATCCTGTCACGCCTAAATATTGATGTCTTGAACATGAAGTGGACAGAAGTTGTCGCTGTTGTTTACGCGATCTATCACCTGAACCTGAGCCGGTCTACATACATGCAGGCAAACTGGACCCTCTATGGCCGGCCAACTCCCCTGGCGCGCCAGCCAGGCCGATTTCTACTATTTACTACAAGCCTCACTGGGTCAGTCTACTGAGGAAGACCAGAGTGACTGGTCGAAAGCTCTAGGTGAGAGAATTTTTGGTGTTGGATCTGAAGTTTAACTCTAAACATGTAACTACCAACATAGATGAACTTTCATGATAGTATAAGATGATGAAGAGTCTGGTGGAGACTACGATCTACAGACTTCATGAGAACCGATCCCCAGACATGTACAGGCCAGAGGAGATGGCCACCATAGAATCTCCAAGCTGGAGATTCTATGGTGGCCATCTCCTCTGGTCAAAGATATTCTCTTTTTAGGCCAATTTCTACTGTTTATCAGCCTGCAAAAGGAGTCTAGTGGAGACTACCAGACATGTACAGCTAGTTCCCCAGACATGTACTAGACATGTACATCTCCAGCCGAACGTGACCTCGCTCTCCGTGTATGTGTAAATATTTGGGAGGCATCTCGGACCGTCCACATGGCGATAGCAGCTCGTCCATCAGACGGAGAACCCGCTAGCCGACGGGCCTGGGATGCTTGTAGGTCTGGGCAGGAAGCGGAGCTGACAAACTTACGCACCGGGTAATGTGGGAAAACCGCCGCCTGAGGCGTCTGTGGACTCGGCTAACCTTGGTCTGGGTGCGACGCTGTTGGCAGGGCTAGTATACAGACTGGGTCCACGGCTATAGGCCCTACACAGGAGAACCATTCTACAATACCATTGCCACAGAGTAGACCCAGGACTATCCAAGGACACTCAGTGACTGACGGGAGCCTTTAGCCTCTACCAGGCTTCGGGAGGCGGTCGGAAAGAGTAGAAATCGGCCAAATAGAGATATAACATGCCGGGGGAGTTGGTCCACTAGAGGGTACAGTTAGTTTGCCGCACGGGTATCTCTCTATTTGGCCAATTTCTACTATTTCCAGCCGACACCCGAAGCCTGGTAGAGGCTATACTGGCAGGTGGCCCTGTCGCTGCTGTTGTGGCCCCGGCTACAATGGGACGTTAGCCTCCGTAGCAGGCTTATAGAACTGGGGGTTTGGTGGTCTTCGGCTGTTTTCTGATTAGCCTCCGTAGTAGGCTTATAGGACTGGGGGTTTTGTGGTCTTTGGCTGTTTTCTGATTAGCCTCCGTAGCAGGCTTATAGAACTGGGGGTTTGGTGGTCTTCGGCTGTTTTCTGATTAGCCCAGTTCTAAAAACGGGGGCAATTCAACCAGGCCGGCTATGTTGTCTGTATGCAATCAGAAAATAGCACATAAAAGCTCCCAAAGACCCTGAAGACCCCCAGTTTTTGGCATGCCACGGATGCTAATGGGACGTGTCCTCCCCCGACTGTCTCCGTGTGGGGAGGCTGTTACAGGAGACTGTGTGGTCCGCTGCACGTACCGCTGACACTCCGCTTACATCAACCCGACAAGCTTCTCGCCGGGACCAGGCTAAAGGCCAGCCGCGGTGCTGAGAGGCTACCGGATACCCAACACCCTTCACTTCACAAGTATCCACATCGTCACAGATACACAACACCCTTCCAGTGTATTCAACACCATCTACATCATCACAGATATCAGTCACTGAGTCAGCAGAGACCATCACCCTTCCAGTGTATTCAACACCATCCACATCATCACAGACATCAGTCATCAGACTACAGCTTTCGTTACGCTCTGTCCAACAGACGGAGACGGCTGAACGATCAACTCTTCTAGCCTGGTTACCAAACCTATTATAGCTCCCGAGTCCTACAGCCTCTCCGCTGTAGGAACAGCCTCTCCGCTCCGGGAATCGGGAGCTATAATAGGTTTGGTAACCAGGCTACAACCCTTCAGCTACCAAAATTGATTTGTGTGATGGTGCTTTATGTGCTTTGGTTGGAGTTTGTTGATCTTATAATAGGAACTTAAAGCACAGGTATGGGTAAAAAGACAAAAAAACGTTGAAAATGTCTTTAACATTGAATGATCTGCCAAGAAAACAAACCTGATACGTAATAGCATGTAAAGATATCCTCTATGTAGATGGTTAGGCTAATATAAGCCTGGCCACTGAAAGACAACCTCCCTTCACCTGTGAGTCAGCAATAAGGACTACTACTTGATCAAGTAAAAAGGCTGCAAGGAAAATTAGTAGAATCTACTGACAAAGATGCCTGCAATTTCCTTCCAAGGACTGACTGACTGACGAAACCACATTTTACGCGACCAGAAAGTTTCTGTATCTGCCTTTCGGCGTAACACACCAGTTTGCCTCCTCTTGTGGTCCATCTACTGGTTGTCAGTGTAAAACCAATCTTAACATTACTACAAGCAAAGTTTAGGGTTTTGGGTTATTTTTGGCGTGTTTTTAAAATTTTTTTAATCGTGATTTCTTTTTTGCACTGGAATTTTTCTTTCACCCAACCAAAAAAAAAAAAAATTCCAGTGCCACAAGAAACCCCGATAAAAAAGCCTAAAACACGTTAAAAATACCCCAAAACCCAAACCTCTGCTTGGAGAGTTTCTTAACATAGCCTTTAGTTTAGAGTCCCAAGTTTAAACAGGCCCAACAATATCTGCAGTTATCGTTCTTACAGAAGCAGTGGTTGCATTCACTGTAATTACGTGAAGTTGGAAGCTGCGTTGCCTTAAGTAGTACGTGAAACTACGTACAGCTGTAACTTCGTAACTACACAAACATAACCTTATATTACATCATATCGACAATGGAAATTAGCATGAACGTTCATCTGAGTTGGTAAAATACATTATGAGAAACTTTAAACTGATCTCCAGTTAAAAAAATTACTACGCATCGAAGCACTCGGTCTTCCCAGTTTTAGGGTTTTATATTTTAGGTAATATAAATTTGCGTTGGAGAGCAGTGTGAAGTTTCTCACAACAATGACAACGTTAAGCGGTGAATATTAGTCTCCACCAGACTCCTTTGCAGGCTGAATAAGTACTAGTAGTAGAAATCGGCTAAGGGGGACATCATTGGCCACAGGAGTTGGGTCCAGCTTGCCAGCACAGAGCCGCTGGACCCTCTGTGGCCGGCCAACTCCTCTGGCCAATAATATCCCCCTTTTTAGGCCGATTTCTACTACTTATTCAGCCTGCAAAGGAGTCTGGTGAAGACTAGGTAAATATCGTGATAATGAGTGGAATAACGGGTGAAACGAGGAGGGTTGTGCGCTGTTTGCTGGCTTTGGTGTCCCTTCACTGCTAGAGAGACTGTTTCGCACGCTGCACTCAGCATATAATAATGGGGAGCTTCGCTTCTGGTGACTACAGGCGCAGAGGTAGGGGTGGGTGGAGGGAACTTTTCTATGACGTGTTGGTTGCCAAGGTAACGTTCCACCCACCTTGTTCTCCGCATGCGCACTTGTTGCTGCCCGGCTCGGCCCCTCCCCAGTACGTCATCTTCTGGCCGTCACGTGACACCCACCAGCCGAACGGCTCGTTCTGACCGTCATGCAACAGCACGGAGCCGTAACACTCGTACTGAAATATATGAACAACGTCATGTCACGTGATCAACTGGGTCAGTCTTCCTGAAGGAGCCGTAACACTCGTACTGAAATAATGAAAACGTCATGTCACGTGATCAACTGGGTCAGTCTTCCTGAAGACGGTCGTAGATATGGCTGATCCCCTTCCACCATTAGACCAGTGAGGGTCACAGAAAGTTATTTCTTGTGTTCAAATTTACTGCTAGGGTAAGCTATGGGTTAGAGATGTCTGTTGCCTTATGGGAGCCAGTGTGGAAATGCATAGACAGAATCAGGGTGAAATTCACGATAATGGATAAAACAGGAAATTCATACAACTCTAAATATATCAGGTAAGGTTTGGGATCTTCAATGTTTTGTTGACATATGACATACTCACAGTCAAAGATGGGCTCTTGAAATTGAACTTAAACTCATGATTGGGGAAGAGGACCAGCATGGTTGCCAATGGCACTACTGTTACAAGAACAAGAACGCTAATCTCCAAGCAGATCCGAGGGTGGCAAAAGACAGTATCAAATTGGCCAGGCGGTATCCATTCGGAAGAGAGGGTCCATACGCCACCAAACTGCCTGGCCAATTTGATACTCCCTTTTGTCACCCCGAGGATCCGCATGGGGGTTACAAGAGCGCGGTACCCACCCGTATGTACTGTTCGCAGCTGCTGGACCGCGCCATGAGAGCCCGAATCTGCGCCATGGAAATCTCGTAGTTTATCTGCTGCGAGAAACATCCGGGTTCTTCGCAACCCTGGACCAACGTCCTGTCCTCGCTGTCATGGTGGATAACGGTCACACCTAGGGAAGGAGGAAGGTTTCTTAAGACTTTTGCCACGGAGTAACTTTGCCATAGTGGACTTGTAGTAGTTACATCATAGCATAGCAACTTAATGAAAAGTTTATTGCAAATTCGTGTCCGGAGGCTAATTGCAAATTACAAAACATAAAAGAACAATGAAATAGAGTATAAAATAACTAAAGTCTACATGATGAAGGTAGCTGTCTAGAACTATAACTATGTCTAAAACTATGTCTGAATATTCATGAAGGGTTTGACTTCTCTTCTGTAAACCATGGAAGACGTGGAATATACTGCCTGCCTTCTTCAAGTACCCACGCCAATAGCTGACCCCAAAGTTTGCTCCTTTCGAAAGGTACCTTCAAGATTTTTTTCTTAAGATTTCTTGGAACCGTACTGCTCATGCCAATCCTTCCCCGCGTTTTCAGAAGAAAAAAACGTAGCAGACGTGGCCTTCCCAAAACACGTAGGTACGGCGGGTTGTGACCGAGGCTTAAGCTGGAAGTCCTTAACACTGAGAGAAGGCGGGACCAGATCCAAGTAACTCGATAGGTATTAAGTAGGGTCAGACCGTTTGGTCCGCTTTCCAGTCAGGGAAAAACTTGATAGGTAGAATAAAGCTGACTTTGCAACACAACAGGTGGTTGTCGTTTGCAGGAACAAGAGTTTCTTTTTTTTAATGAATGAATGATTTATTTGCATTTTTTGGTGATCGTCTTTGCCTAGGTTATCAGGAGGAACGGTATACATTTGTAGATCTGGCTCCGTCTTTGAAGGCTGCACATTACGTAAAACAAAATGAATCAAGCAACTGGTTAGCTTTTCTTAAGAGCCAGACGTTTCCGATAGCATCTGCTGTCTTTCAGCCATTCTCAAATCACAAATGAGCTATCTTTCATCCGTAACTTGAGAACTGGATGGTGACTCTTCAGAAAATCTATCAAATTGCCTAATTATCCTGATGAAGGCGACAGTGGTCGCTGAAAATTTGATCTCTCTGTAAACTGTGTGTTGGAATAAAGTTCAGCGTTTTACTATGATTTCTAACAACACAGATGAACTTTCATGATAAATTGCTTGAATTGAACGAAAAGATCTGAATGGAATTGATCCTCTGAACTGCAGAAAGAGCCGCTGATGAGTATGTAAGCTGGAAGTCCTTAGCACCGAGAGAAGGCGGGACTGGGTCCAAGTAACTCGATAGGCATTAAGTAGGGTCAGACCGTTTGGTCAGGTTTCCAGTCAGGGAAAAACTTGATGAATGATTTGGGAGAGGCGAGTCAGGTTCGGATTTATCGCTGGAGAGTCTAGAAACGATCATAACGACTTAAGCAGCAGGTTTTGTATCATAACGGGACAAAAATGTTGGACCGCTTTCAAGATTTGTTCCGATTACCCAAACCTAAGACTAACAGCAGGAAACGTTCATTCCTGTATCGTGCAATATTGCTGTGGAATGATCTACCATATCACATAAGACATGTCCTGTTTCCAATGATTGACTACTTGTACCCTTTGTTCATATTATTTATCATCTCTATCTTGAAGTACTTGATTGTCTACATGTATGTCCTTTGTAACTTGTTCTGTTTTATGTTGGGCTACCTTGGAAATCAGTTGTCCTAAACTGAAGATACCACCCAACCGTTTTTAAGATCAATAAATAAATTTAAAAAAAACACACTGAGTAACCTACTCAGGTTCAAAAAAGCTATCACAAACAGTGTCACATGAGCCTCAACCTCTAGTTTTTAAATTGTTTTAAATTGAAGACTAGCCCTGCAGGGCTAAAAGGCTTCGAAATAAATAATGAATGATTTGGGAGAGGTTCGTATTTATCGCTTGAGAGTCTAGAACGACTTAAGCAGCAGGTATTGTATCATAACGAGTCAGAAATGTTGGAACGCTTTCAAGATTTGTTCCAGCTATTTCTTTCTGAAACTAAGCGATTTAACAACTGATTTATACTTCTGTATTCATTCATAATATCTTAATAGCTAAACTCTGTTCTGTTGTTACCTGGACGATACCCATGTTTTGTGATGTAATTTTAATTTTATGTCTAATGGTGACGTGAATATAAGCATTTTGCTTGAGTGCATCGCCACTATGTATTGTATTTTTGCATGTTGGAAGGCCTTCAAGTTTTGTCCCGATCTTCCCACCACAAGCCAGGAAGTTCCCACCTCTCGGCAGATATTTTTAGGGGATCTTGTCCATTTCTTAATATTTAACTATCACTTTCAGGGGTTTTTGTAGAAAAATTTAGCATGAGGGAGCAGATCACAAGCATGGCAAGGAACAAAGCGACCGAGGAGGGATTTTTTAATAAGAGTAGCCACTTAGGGTTGAATCTGAAAATTGGTATGAGGGAGCTGGCTGGTTACATGAGGGAGCAGCTCCCTTATTCCCCTGTTTAGAAAAAACCATGACTTTTTCCAGTCAGTTGAGTCGGAAGTATGCCAACAACCCAAGGATGGTTGGCTGGATAATTTGACATGTGTATGTCCGGTAGTAATAGCAATATAGTACAGGCAAGTACATGTAATACTGACATGACACAAAAAAGAGTGCATTTGCCAAACCGCGGGCGGATTTTGCAAGGATTAGAGTCCCGACCTCCTTACGCGCCACACAGCGTGCCGAGTGAAGCGGTTCTACATCTGCTAGCGTTCAGCTGCAGGGAGGGACCCCTACTGCCGAGACGTAGGCCACAGCAAATACATTTTATGGATGACATCATCCGCAGACTCCAAAACTAATCCGAGTGGGCAAAAAAAACAAGGCGGGCCAAAAAAAACAAGGTTCTTATATTTTAAAATTTGTACTCAATCATTGTACAAATGGTTTTGATTCAGTGGGAACATCACATATACACAACCAGCATCACATATCACTGCATCAAAAAAGCAAAGTGAAAAACAAAACATTAAATCAGAGCGTTTTCTTGTCTCCTCTCTTTATAGTTATCTGTCATCCACCTTCCGGCATGGCAGCAGACAACTTTGCCCATGTGTATGACCACTGTCAAAAGGCAACAAAATTTCTTGTTTTGTTTTTTCTCCAAAATCAGGCGAAAATTAATGCGCGCGCTGATGTCATCCATAAAATTTCCTTGCCGTTGCCTAAGTAATGTTTAGGCGGATTTGCTTTGGAAAGCCTAAGTCTACAGTCCTGACCTCCTATGGTGGGTAAAATGGCGGAAGGTCCCGCCGGACGGTTTGTTTGGGCCCGACAGTCGCCCCAGAGCAAACACTTAAATGAAGTACATCTGTAAAAACCACTGAGAACTGAACTTGAACGTGTCTGGTCAGGGCAACCCTGGGAAACCGGCGCGCGAGGAGAGAGCTCGCCAGGAGAGGGATAAGATTCTGGGACATACATTCAACTTCAACACTCGATCTTACAACGTTAAACAACTCTTAATTCTATTCTACGTGGTAGGTTGCTCAGCTCTAGTCGTATCAACTGCAAAATCGTGTTAGGTCCACGGGTCAGAAACGTGAGACCGTCGTTGCTCAAATTTTGAAAATCATATTTCAACGGAACAGAATATTGCCTTTCTTTCTGTCTCTCTCTCTCTCTCTCTCTCTCTTTCTTTGATTTGATGGTGATGCTGACTCGTGGCCTGAGTCTGAATCTGAATCCGAGTCTCCGCGCCCGCCGCATCTGGAACCCCTGTTCGGGCGGGTCAGGAACGTGAGACCGCCGGGCCCTTCCTTACGGCTCCGTGCCTGCCGACGGGCCGCGTGTTTTGTCAGCACGGGGAAATGTGTGGCGCCGTGCTGAGTACTACACGGACTGCTCAAATACACAATTCATATTTCAACGGGACAGAAATTCCTCTCTTTCTCTTTCTTCAAGCCCCAACAGTTGCTCCGAAAGTTTCGTGCTCAACTATCTTTGGTTTGTGATTGTGCTGGTCACGCATGTCGTTGCTTAAATTCAGAATTCATATTTCAACGGGACAGACTTTGAATGCCTCTCTTTCTCGTTTCTTCGCCCTGTCGGTTGCTCCCAAGTCTCGTCTTCAAATATCTTTGATGATTTTTTTTATCATTTAGAAAATCTTTACAGTCAGGCTTTTAAGCATGCAGACACGTTGCTCAAATTCAGAATTCATATTTCAACGGAATAGAAATGGCTAGATATGCCTTTAATTCTCTTCTTCCTGCCCCGACAGGTTCTCCGAAACGCTCGTCTTCAACTATCTTTGATTCAATTGTGATGCTGACACATGTCATTGCTCAATATTTATCATATTTCAACGGAACAAAAATGCCTTTCTCTCTCTTTTTTAGTCCCACCAATTTTTTAAATTTTGTCGGTAGCAAACAAGCAACCAAACCACTGGCTGGCCATAAGAAGAAAAGCTGAACGGAGGTATAATATCTCGATACTGTTGTCCTAAGCTATCCCGTTTAATTTGTTGTCCTCTAAGCTATAGCTATCCTGTTTGTTGTCCTGTAAGCTATCCTGTTTCGCCCCTACTGCCTAACCCTGACCCACGTCACCCTGACCCTTCACCACTACAACACGAGCCAGAGTTCACGTCGGTCTTTCCTTAAAACACAGATGGTTCTGCACAAGTCATGGCAACCCGTACATAGGCCCCATTCCCATTAGAATAGAATTGTCCAGATCAAAGCGAACTGATTCGCTTTGATCCGGTTTCGAGTCGGATCGAGCCAGATCGGATCCGGACCAATTCGGCTCGATCCGGACAATTTTACCCTAGTGGTAATGGAGCCCTAGTGGGAAAGGGGCCATAGACTCGTAGGTTTTACCTGCTATACAGGTGTACTGTTCTACCTATTGTTCTCACCTGCCGTACTGTCTTATCATTCTTACCTGTCCTAAATTCTTACCTGTCTTATACTCGTACCTGTTCTCCATTTTACCTGTCCTACCTATCGTTCTTTCCTTTACTATAGGCTCGTAGTTTTCACCTACTGCACAGGTGTACTATTCTACCTATTGTCCTCACCTGCCTATTGTTCTCACCTGTTGTGCAGTCCTGCATGTCGCAGTAGATCTCGAACGGCTCCACCCCGCAGGTCGGGCTGTCCGGGTCCAGGGTGTAGTTCCCGCTTCTCTTAAACCCGGCTCTCTTCCAGTCCGCACAGGTCGGCATCACTGGGGAACAACAACACCAAATATGGGATCAATAATACCAAATATGGGCACGGCAATACCAAATATGGGCACAACAACACCAAATATGGGATCAACCATACCAAATATGGCCATAACAATACCAAATATGGGCACAGCAATACCAAATATGGGCATAACAATACCAAATATGGGCATAACAATGCCAAATATGGGCACAACAATACCAAATATAGGCACAGACACCTGTCAACTCAGTTGCTCAAGATTACCAAATATGGGCACAACAATACCAAATATGGGCAAAGGCACCTGTCAACTCAGTTGTACAACAGTAACCAAATATGGGCACACACAACTGTCAACTCAGTTGTTCAACAATACGGGTTACAATAGTACATATTGTTTAGGTGACTGTGCGTGTGTGTGTTTGTGCGTGCGAACGTGCAGTATCGTTATTCCAAAAGAGATTTGTAAAATAAGTGTATACATAGGGCAATACATACAACAATGTATGGGTCCGTGTTTACTACCAGATACAATGAAATCTAATTTGACTTCATTGCTGCCCCTGAGGGTATACTTAAAGGGGCGGTCCGAAGTCTCCCCTCTCTGATTGCCTTGTTATACCTGATATAAAGATGGCCACCAGGATAGACATATCGTCCCATCATACAGTATTACTGTCTAACGTTCCCGTACCGCCCCCCTCCCCCTTTCCAGCTGAGGCGGCGCTTCACAACTCTGGCCGGGGTCTGGTCCTGATGATATCGTCATTATGATTAATGCGGCGCAGGATGCGCTCCTCTCATCCGTAACCCTCCCCGCCACCTCCACACGGGCACGTGGCGCTAGTCCCTACCAAACTAACTACACTGGCTATGTATAGGAGAATATTTGCCAGGGGAGTTTGGCCGCCTTGTAGGTTTGACAGGCCGCGCAGGAGGGAAAGAAACTACCTCCCCGCGGCCGGACTTCCTTGGCCAATTTTACTCTCTTTTTTTTGCCGAATTCTACGATCCGTATTCCCGTAGAAAGGCCTGGTGGAGGCTAGGTCGGCCTCACCTCGCCGTCTCTAGCCTGGTGTAGCCTCCACCTGGCCAAACTCCCCTGGCAAGTATTCTTCTATATATAGCCAGCGTAGTTAGTCTGGTAGAGACTACGCCTGGCGCAGGATGGGCTCCTCTCACCTGTAACCCTCCCCGCCACTTCCACAAGGGAACGAGGGGGGTACCGGCCGGGAAAGTGGGAACAGGCGCGCGCGGGTAGCCTTCACCAGGCCTTTCTACGGGAATACGGATCGTAGAATTCGACATAAAAAGAGAGTAAAATTGGCCAAGGGGGTCCGGCCGCGGGGAGGTAGTTTCTTTCCCTCCGAAGCGTGGCCAGCCAAACCTACAAGGCGGCCAAACTCCCCTGGCAAATATTCTCCTGTATATTCTCCTGGTAGAGACTAGCGCGGGCGCTAGCCTGGTTATCAGTCTCCACAATACAGGCTGGATTATCTTTTGCAGGCAGAATAAATAGTAGAAATTGGCCTAAAAAAGAACGTAGCTGGCAAGGGGAGTTGGCTAGTCATAGAGGGTCAAGTTTACCTGCAGGCCGATTTCTACTACTTTAGTATCAATTCAGGAGTCTGGTAGAGACTAGGCTTAGGGGTGTGTTACCGGCCCCAGTCTAGCCTGGTTACCGTTCTCCACAGGTCAGCTTAGTCCTATTGGACCCTATTGGGCAAAGGCCTCTCCTAGCCTGGACATGCTAGGTCTTACCAGTCTGGCCTTTCGAACTGTTGCCGTCCCTCGTAGGCTAAAATTGAAGCTATAAAAACACCGTTGTGCCCAAATATTATGGACGTTGACGGGTGGGCACACAAAACGATGCCGGGGAGCCTACGGTAGCCTGGCTGCCAGGCTAGGAGGGGCGGTGCAGCCTGCAGTAAGTCCGTACCGCCGGCAATGTGGGGTTGATCACGGCAGTTGGCTGGGAGCCAGACTAGCCCACAGGAGTCGGGCGCTGCGGTTGGATCTCACGCCCCGGCAGCTAATGCCGTCCACATTCACGCTATCTCTGCCGCCGCTTTTTCCTATTATCTATCGGGGAGGAGCGGCTTCACGACCACCCAGCCTCTCTCGCCTTGCGCCTCGTTAGCACTGATTAATTGGATGTGATTAAACGTTTTAACCTCACGCGGAGACTGTGAGGGATGGACGTCTGGTCAGGAGGCGTGAGACACCAGGGACGGCCGTTCATCACCATGCAGATGCACCTGTTCTAATGTGGGTCAGTCACAGTGTGCGGCACCGCCAGTACTAGTACCTTAGATGAGATGTTGTGGAAGCAATACTTGTATATCTTGTACTTGGACAAGTACAAGAAAGAGAAGTTGAGAGGCTTGCTGTAAGTTACTCCACAGATGACTAAGAAGGGACTACCTTGGACCCATGACCTCTAGCCTTAGTAGCAGATGCTGTAGGGCTGATGTGAATTAGGATTTTACGGTGTTTGTGTGTCTAAATATATATATATGTATATACAACACACACGTTGACACACACACACATATACATTGATACATATATATACATATATATATATATATATATATATATATATATATATATATATATATATATATATATATATATATATATATATATATATATATANATATATATATATAGTGTGTGTGTGTGTGTGTGTGTCAACGTGTGTGTTGTGTGCGTGTCTATATATGTGTGATTGCCTATATATACTGTGAGTGTGTGTGTGTGTGTGTGTGTGTGTGTGTGTGTGAGAGAGAGAGAGAGAGACAGAGAGTCTATGGGTGAGTGTGTGACATTCAGACGGGAGCAACAGAGAACCAAAGTCGACGACGCGTAATTCAACAAAACAGGGTAGGTGTAAGCAAAGTGACTAGAATGTAGGCTTGACGATTTCCTCGATCTCTGAACATATCAATCAAGTGACACTTCGGGTGAATTCAACGTGGCCGGACTCCCTTGGCCAATTTTACTCTCGTATTTTGCCAAATTCTACGATCCGTATTCCCGTAGAAAGGCCCGGTGGAGCCTATGATTTACCGACAGGTAGCTCCCTTCTGCCGACAACTGTCGCGACAATCCCGTTACTATCCGCGACGTGTTTAAGATTAACGCACGACGCTGGCAGGTTCTGCAACTCTCTCCCGACATTGTCGCGACAATCCCGTTACTATCCGCGACGTGTTTAGATTAACGCACGACGCTGGCAGGTTCTCCCGACAACTGTCACGACAATCCCGTTACTCGCCGCGACGTGTTTAAGATTAACGCACGACGCGAGCGGGTTCCGCTCGGCTGCCAAGCCGCGGGGAGGGAGACAGGGTCAGCTTCTTCACTACAACAATAAACGCGCATTCGTCAGTTTATTTGAAATATGGCACACATTTGCCCCGCACCTCCGTCAAACCCTCGGCTACCGTGCCAAGCGGCGGGGAAAACTAGACCGACATGGCCCCGCTCTGCCAGGGAGACGGAACACATATGGAAACCAGAGCTTAGTGATGTTGTGAAGAGCATTACGTACAATGACGGAAAACGTTTAAGCGCACGGATAGAGGGGATTGCCCGAATCTTTCCGTAAGCTCCAAGCTTCCGTAAGATGAAAATTGCGATACAGGTGCCACGGTGGTCCATAGCCTCCTCTGTATGTGTGGGGTGGGTTGAGCTTAAGGTGGGCTGCAGGCCCCTATATAGCCAGACCAGGCTTACAGGCTCCCTCAGTATCTTCTAGCCTGGCAGCCAGACCATCGCAGGCTCCACCGGGGCCGGTTTAAGTGATTTCGCAGTTATTACAAGGCCCACTGGAAAGACCTAGCATGTCAGCACAATGTAGCTCGACTGGGGCCATTGAAACATCCCTAAGCCGGCCTGTGGAGAACGGTAACCAGGCTAGACTGGGACCGGTAAGACACCCCAAATTCGACCTGTGGTAACCAGGCTAGCTTGGGGCCTGTGGAGAACGGTAACTAGGCTAGACTGGGGGCCGGTAAAACACCCCTAAGCCGACCTGTGGTAACCAGGCTAACTTGGGGCCTGTGGAGAACGGTAACCAGGCTAAACAGGGGTCGGTAAAAAGCCCCATATTCGTGGTAACCGGGCTAGACTGGGGCCTGTGGAGAATGGTAACCAGGCTACATGGTCTGCCCTGGTTCTTTGGGGCCTGTGGAGAACGGTAACCAGGCTAGACTGGGGCCCTAAGCCGACCTGTGGATAACGGTAACCAGCCTGTAAAGTCTGCCCTGGTTCTGTGTATATGGACTGGATTAGGGATGGAGGTCAGAGGCACGGGCCGGGGCGTGAGTGTTGCACGGGTCAGCTCCTCCCCCTGCCCCGCCGAACAGCCGGCCAGCGCGCGCGCGCTGCGGGACGCTACGGACCGACGCACGGCCTGATTATATCTCCGCGGTAGCCTGGCAGCCTCTAACAGGCGTCGGGAGGTGGCTGGAAACAGCAGAAATTGGCCTGGTAGAGGCTAGCGGGACGCTACGGACGGACGCACGGTCTGATTACCTCCCCGTGGTGTACTGGCAGTAGCCTCCACCAGTACTCTCCAAGCAGAGGTTGTGGTGGAATGATCGTTAGCTTTTTATATATGGCCGTTTTTTTGTCGCTAATCCCGTCGGTGGCCGGCGACCTTCTCTGGCTAATGGATACAGCCTGGCCAATTTGATACTGTCTTTTTGCCACCGAAAGGGATATGCTTGGAGATTATCCACCAGGCCTTTCTACGGGAATACGGATCGTAGAATTCGGCAAAACGGAGAGGAAAATTGGCCAACGGATTACGGCCGCGGGGAGGTAGTTTCTTTCCCTCCGAAGGGGTATTTTTTACGGGTCGGTTTCAAGAGGGCAATAATTAGGAAGGCCGGCTGTAAAGAAAGTCTGTCAGGCCTACGCTTGGTAGGACTGGGACCAGTGGAGAATGGTAACCTGTGGCTACCTATGTAAGAAACAGGAGGAGCTAGGGGCCGGGGTTCGAACCCACGACCTCCCGAGCACTAGTTCAGACTCCGACGCTCTAACCACTCGGCTAAAAGGTCCAGACCCATCGGCCGGGTCAGTTGGTAGCGCCTATAAACCCCCCACTGTTACACCTATGCGGAAGATGAACAGCACTTCTATTCAGACACTGTTTAGAAACATCTCTCTGTCCCGTCCTACAGACTGACACTTAAACCGGGGTCTGGTTTAACCCTCTGAGTCCGGCGGATAGGATGTGGATATTGTTTTATAATTGTCGTCATCCCCGTGAGGCGTACGTTATCCCGCCAGATTTACCGGCTATGAAAAGCCAGCATGTCGGGTTTCATCCCTTAACGACCGCTTCCTATCCAGATTCTTCAAGATTTAGGCCACAGCAAGTAATTTTCATGGATGACATTAGCGCGCGCATCAATTTTCGCCTGATTTTGAAAAAAAAAAATTGTTGCCTTCTGACAGTGGTCACCATGCCGAAAATGGGCAAAGATGTCTGTTGCCACGCCGGAGGGTGGATGGCAGATAACTATGAAGATAGTAGACAAGAAAAGGCTCTGATTTAATGTTTGTTTCTTACTTTGATGCAGTGATATGTGATGCGGGCTGTGTATATGTGATGTTCCCACTGAATCAAAACCATTCGTACAATTAATGATTGAGCTAAAATTTTAAAACGTAGGAAATTTGTTTTTTCGGCCCGCCTTGCTTTTTTTGCCCGCTCGCATTAGATTTAGAGTCTGCGGATGAGGATGAGGATGTCATCCACAAACTTTACTTGCTGTGGCCTAAACGACCGCTTCCTATCCAGATTCTTCAAGGTTTAAATACGATCTTGGAGCGTCCGTAAATTCAGGCAGTGTTTAGAATGTGTTGTCTCGGTGAACGATGCCGCTCTGTATGACCTAATTCTGGTTAGGTTTTCGGACTAAACAGTCGAGCTGGTCGGGTTTAGTTCGTCCTCTTTTCACAAAGTCCTTAAAGGCATCCAATGCAATTTTAGGGCGGCAAAACTGGAAATATTCGATTCTGAATAAGGCAATCTGTATGATACTGACTAAAATCTGCAGTTTTTAGGGCTTGGAAACCCGATTTTTCAAAGTCAATATTCTAGTCACTTATCTACATACTTCAAACCACACTATCCCTATGTAAATCGACCCTCGTGGAGCAAAAATACCCAAATTTCGGACGGAAAATGGCTAATTGAAGGGTCCTTGGCTGATTTTTAGGGTACCACCCATAAAATAAAGGACTCATCTTGCGGCTTGTTTCTGCAGTTTCAATTACCCAAAGTATGAAATAATGATAAAAATGTGCTAATATGTGACGCAGTACGTGTCAATATCATATGTACATTGCCTTATTCGGAATATTTCCAGTTTTGCTGCTCTGAAACTGCACTGGGTGCCTTAAACGCCGATAGTTCTGGGGAAATACGAGTTTTTGAACAACTCAATTCTTGCAATTCTTGGTTGATAACTCTGATATTTGAAGGCATTAGTGACTAGAATACTGACTAAAATCTAGCTTCCAAGCTCTAAAAACTACATTGGGTGCCTAAACGCCCCCCCCCCTCGATCTTGAGAGTCAGACAGCGTGTTTGATGCTGACCTTGCCCGGGTCACGTCCCCCGGGAACCCGCAGGGCTTCTGAGAAGACAAGTTTGTGAGACTGGACATTCCTGCCTGCCGCCCCGCCCACCGACATCACCACCGTCTGTCTAGTGATCTCTAGTGCTGTGTACCTTAAACCCACATTTATTAGGTCTGGATTCAAGTCCAGAGGTTTAGGTTCAGGTCCGGACTTGTAAGTCCAGGCCTAAACCCATGGCATAAACAAAATTGCATGTTGGCAACCTTGCAAAGTTGTCTGGGTGAAACTGTGGCCACGTCGCATGGAGGCCGACACTTGACGATGCCCGAAGGCAATGTTTTCTTCATTTTGCAGCACAGGTCTTGCAATCCATGTAAAGTTTTAGGTGGCTTGGAATGAAAGGGGGCATGTGGCATGATTTTTTTTAATAAGTCCGAAATCGGTTCTGGACTTTAACTGTTTAAGGTTTCTTTGGACTTGAACCTCGACATTCCTGGCTGCCGCCCCGCCCACCGACATCACGCCCGTCTGGTGCTGACGAAACTTCGCGTTAGTCTCTACCAGACTAACTACGCTGTATATAGGAGAATATTTGCCAGGGGAGTTTGGCCGCCTTGTAGGTTTCACTGGCCGCGAAAGAAACTACCTCCCCGCGTCCGGACTCCCTTGGCGAATTTTACTCTTTTTTGCCGAATTCTACGACCCGTATTCCCGTAGAAAGGCCTGGTGGCAGTAACTTCGCGTGTCTCGTCTCCACTAATCTCCAAGAATATTCTGTGTTGCAAGGGGAATCTATATTGGCCGCATGCTGGATAAATAGTAGAAATGGGCCTAAAAAGTGGGTATAATTGGCCAGGGAAGGTGGCCGGTCAGATAAAGCTCAAGCACTCGCCGGTTTAGGGCCATTTCTACGATTTATCCAGCCTGCAAAACAAAGGAGTCTGGTGGAGCTACACTTCCCCAACCCTATCTGTCTCTGACAATTACTACCCGCGAGGTTGGACAAGCTTCTCCGTTAAATTACCTCTCAAGTTGATAAACGCGCGACCCATTTTACTCTCGGCAGGGAAGCGGCTTGCAGCAGCAGTTTACCCGAATCAACGGGGATTTGCTAGCCTCCAACAGGCCTTTCTACGGGAATACGGATCGTAGAATTTGGCCAAAAAAAAAAAGAGTAAAATTGGCCAAGGGAGTCCGTCCGCGGGGAGGTAGTTTCTTTCCCTCCGACCTGTCAAACCTACAAGGCGGCCAAACTCCCCTGGTAAATATTCTCCTATATATAGCCAGCGTACTCTCCAAGCAGAGGTTGTGGGGAATGATCGTTACCTTTTTATATATGGCCGTTTTTTTTTTTGTTCTGATCTCCCACCAACCCGTCGGTGGCTAATGGAGCTTCTCTGGCTAATGGATACTGCCTGGCCAATTTGATACTGTCTTTTTGCCACCGAGAGGGATCTGCTTGGAGATTAGCCAGCGTACAATGTAGTTGGTCTGGTAGAGACTAGTTTTTACCCGAAACTTCAGGTCGCGTCGCGCCGGGGTTTCACGGGTTCCAATAACGCCCGGCTGGTTGTTAATGATCTTCCCCGGAACGATCCATCAGCCTCGGGGGGTGGCACGCCAACAGCAATTAACGCCTGTCTGCGCGCGCGGAACAAATTCACCCCCTCCCCAGACAATGGTTAGGTCTACAGGGGTGCCAGAGTATACAGTGCAATTTTACGGAATACAGTACAATCGTATTAGTATACAGTGCAATTTTACGGAATACAGTACAATCGTATTAGTATACAGTGCAATTTTACGGAATACAGTACAATCGTATCAGTAATACAGTGCAAATTTACTAGTAAAATTGCACTGTATATTAGTAAAATTGCACTGTATACTAATACCATTGTACTGTAGTCCGTAAAATTGCACTGTATACTAGTAAAATTGCACTGCATTCCGTAAAATTACACTGTATACTCTGGCACCCCCGGTCTACGGAAGGAGAAGAATTACGGAGGGCATGATTGAGACATCTTCCTGACACGGCGATATGTAAGCATCACAGACCTGATGGATGGGTGCCATGTATGTTTGGTTATTGAATCTACCGAAAATAAACAGACAAGAGCTAGTTAGTGACAGGGCGGGAGACGTCCCCAAGGTTTGGACAATGAGCTCCCTTCTCCTTGATTCTGCTTATTTACCTACACGCGATCCCAGCGGGGGAGGAAGTCCCTTTTAATCCCCCACCCCGGGATAATCCAGGACCCTCCCCGGCGGCGGAGAACCCTACTTTAAATAATCTCCAAGAAGATCCCTTTCGGTGGCAAAAAGACAGTATCAAATTGGCCAGGCAGTATCCATTAGCCAGAGAAGGTCCGCGGCCATCGACGTTGGTGGGGGTCAGGACAAAAAAAAAAAAA